CAAAATCTCCAATTTCAACGACACTCATGCCATGCCCAACATTCCAGTGAATTATACATATCAAGGTGTCCCTTTACATGGTCATCAATCATCCTTAAACACATGGAATCAAAACGAGCAAGCTCGTCTTCGAACACAGAGATTGTGAAACTTTCAGATGATTTTTTCGACGACGATGTTGGGACCCATGATTGCAGACCACCACTACAAGCGCCTACTCTTCACAGCGCATCCAATGAACATATGGGTCATCCCCAATTTGGCATGGAAATGGCTGTTTCTGGGTTTTCTTCCAATGAACAACCTACCTGCATGAAGGAGGTTTTCTTCCATCAATTCATGGCTCAAATGTGATTCTACACACAAATCAACATGGGAGAAATGAAATTCAAGGTCAAAAAGCATTGGGTAATAGCTCAATTACAGAAATTATAGCACTTGTTTGTCGAATTTTTAAGTCAAATGATGTTCTTCATAAACCTATAACTGCCGAATTTTGGAGATTTTGGCTTGATTTTTCGATGAATTCAGGTGGGTTTGAGGTAGGGGAGAGTGAGGCAAGGCTGGTGATGGTGGAATCCGACGAGTATGGTGGCCGAAAGGTGTTTGGATTGTGAAAGTGGTGGTGGAGGAGAATTTAGGACTAGGCTCTAATGTTTTGAAAAATTTAGAAATGTGATTGCAATTAGTTATTTATTGATTTTTTTTTTTTGTTTTATTTGAATCGGGGGTAAAATTGTCATTTTATTGGAAAAAAAAGAAAAGGACCTTCTCCACAATAAAAGGTGGAAATAGGGGCAAAAATGTCATAAAATAAAAGGTACTGAACTTAAGTCCATATCTTAGATTACTCACTGAAGTTTAAAATGTCGAGTTTTGGCCACTGAACTTTAGAATATAACATACATAACTCACTAGCATAATTATTGAATTTTGAAAAATATCAAGTTTATAGTGAATAATCTACAACATTTTTCAAAATTCAGTGAGTAAAGTATAATATTTTTTAAAATTCAGTGGCTAAAACTCGATATTTTAAATTTCGTTGAGCAATCGAAGACATGGACCTCAGTTCAATAACAAAAAACTCGACATTTTAAAGTTCAGTGGCTAATCAAAGACATGGATCTAAGTTCAGTGATCATTGGAACAATTAATTCATTTGTTTTCCTTTTTCTGCATGTTTGCCAAAGAATTACCAATTATTAGGTGCTCGTGCTTGTTCGTAGATTTGCTTGTGGATAAAAGTGAACTTTGGCACAAGGGAATATTTCTAAAAATGTTGTTTCTTACTATCTAAGTAAATGTGAATGCAATGTAAAACTTACTGAGGTGTAGGGAGGGGTAGAACCAAGAAAAGATGAATGTTGTTTAATCATAAACAAAAAATTTATTGCATAGATAAATATATAAAGGACGAGTCTAATTTATTCACGAGTTTATGCTATTTTTGACTTGACTGTAAGTTAGATTTTGCGAGTATTGAACGTTTTTAATGTGTTTATTAGTATTATTTTATAAAATTGTTGAGATGGTGAAAGATACGAAAATATTCATCAAATATTGCTATTGGCATGAATCGAAAAGAAATTGTGAACAAAATGGCAAAAGAGGCAAAGCAAAATATTGAGCGACGAGTTGCACCCGATGCCGAAATAGTGGAGCCAAGGCACCACTAAGAGAAAGAGGAAACAAAGACGTGGTGTCATGGCGCCACGTCCAGGGCAATGCGGCACCATGAAAAGCAGAGTGGGGGCGCTACAGCGCCGCCGTAGAATCAACTGGAGCATAATTTTTGGCCCGTTTTAAAATCCATGAAAATCCTTCTTTTGACAAAAAACGTGGAGGTAACTATATATACAATTTTCCTCACAATTCAAGGGGATGGCACACATTGGAAGGCAATGAACACAATTTGAGAATCAAATAAATAATTCAAGGGAGGAAAATATCAAGCAATTCACCATTTGAAGCATTGATTGGAAAGAGGAGAAGATTTTGATGCAAGATTAATTTTTTTCTTCTACATCTATACTACAAATCCAGTGATGTATTCAATGACAATATCTTGTTTTTCCTTTTTCATTATGAGCAGCTAAAATTCTTGTTATGATGAATAATGTAACCTACTTGCGATCCTTTATGTCCTTTAATTAAGATTCATGTTCTTTATTCTTGCATGTATTGATTTTACTATGAGTTTAATGCATTAAATTACTTGATCACTAATTTGATGATTTTGTGAATTTTTTACGAATCGAGAAATGAGTTTAGAATTTAGACCATATAGTAAAATCATGTAAATTGATATAACGTATAGAGATACATATACTACTTATTGCAGTCATAAGTGAACTCCTAGAACTAAGATTTCGTTTAACCAAAATTGATTTGTATAGAGATAAAGAATTGAATTAGTTAAATAAGCTCAATGAAAACTCGAGAAGGGTAAATTGAATACAATAGGAGAATTCAACTGAACACTACATTAGATATGAATCTTAATTTAAGATGTAAAAGTGATTAACAAGTGAAATTGTTCTGCCCTAATATTTATTCATTATTTAATCTCTAAATCAATCTTTGTGTGAATCCATATAGTCTTACACATTTAAATTAAAAAAAAAAAAATACAAACATTTGTTTGCTTTGTCGAATAGTAGTTAGAAAGAAATAAGATTAAGTACTAAAGTTTAGTTCTCATGGGAACGATAATTCAGACTCTTAGGTTCATTATATTATTTGTTCAATATCGTACACTTGCGATAGTAAAAACACAACAATAAACATAATGAGAAATGTTACATAATAACAAATATAGTCTGTGGTAGACATGATACTTCAACTTTTGTAGATTAAGAAGCTTTCTTGATTCTTGGAGATCAGAACAGTGGAAATATTCAATTATATAATTGTAAACAAACCTGCAAGTGATTATAGAAGTATAAAATTGTGGATTTCACTTGTAAATTGTGAGGAAGAATACCCCTTCTTTTGGTGATTCAGTTGTCCGAATTTCGCCTGACTAATCCTAAAGAATGATAGCCTTCTTCCCTAGTTCGCCACCTGGATAAATTCGAATGTGGTCATAGCTTATACACATTTGGGTTGGACATTCGGGATACAATTCTCTTCCCTGTTGACCTCTTTTTACGATGTATGGATAAGACCTCCGGAGGGACGACAAAGTGTACCATAATCTTAGCTTCACAAAATATCTGTCTTCCAACATAAATGTTGTCTTTCAGTTACTACGAAAATTTGAATTTTCGATGCTCCGTAGAGAACTTTCTTACTTTACCACTGCGTCATGCCCATGGGGGCAAGGAAGAATACCTTTTGATTTGTGAAAAGAAGGATAATGTCTACCATATTTTATATGTCGGAAAATTCCCCCTCCAGTAAAGATTGCGCTGATCGTTTACTTGGGCCAGGACATGCTGTAATCCATCCTATCTCCAAAAGGCTTTGCCAATCCGAATGAATCATGGATCAATCATTCATCCCAGGTTGTCTCTTCTTTGCAAGTCTATTTGTGGACCAGCTCATGAATGAGTAAAGCCTAATGACCCGCAAGGATGACTACATCGATGACCGTCCACTCACATGGATGCATGGGTCTCGTGTGAATAATATAATGTCCGACCACCCATGTGTGTATATCGGTCATCCCCGATGTCAAACCCGATGTTTGTGTAGCATGGTTGCTCATGAATAATACTATGAGGTATGGTCCTAACGATTCATAAGCTAAATAGGGCATTTTATGTCTCTAGTTATGCTACATTGTAGTTGTACGGGATGAATAATTTTTGAATGTGTGATGCGCCTGCTTAGATATTTTTTTGCATATACAAGGTAAACGTACAACATAGACAAAGAATTGTGAGGTCCTATTGGGAAAATAGATTGCCTTGTTCTTTTGTGCTTATTGAATTCAATTGACATCACATCTAAGTTGTATTGATGGTGATTTGAACGGACAAGATTTTATAAATGTTAACAATAAATTGAATGTTATTTCTGACAGCTAAACAAGTCTGTGGTCTTGATTTATTGATAATGTTTCTAATTTGATAAGGGCATGTTTGGCCTGGTTTTTATCGTTGTTTCTACTCCTTGTAAAAGAGCTTCTTCTTCCTGTAGAAGCTCTTCTTGCATTTCAGAAAATTATCTGAACATACTTAAAAATAATTGCTTAATCTAAAAACAATTTTTAACTAAAGGGAGAATCTTTAAGAGTAGGCTTTCACCAATCAAAATTTCACGCATTTTGGTAAAATGTGACCTATAAATATCCCTCTTTTTTATTTTGTTAAGATTATTCCAATAGGATTATTTCATCTTTTTTGTTCGAGTCTTTGTAAAAGTTTCTAATTGAAAAGAATTTTATCTAATTTGAACATTCGTGTCCATAGTCAAAACTTTTAAGACATTTCACTTGCTTGCCAAAAAATTCATGCTTTGTTTTACGATGCTTTTGGGAAATTCACATTTCTTTAGTTCCTCATCATAAAAAAAGAAAACAAAGTACCGAACTGAAACAATCTTGAAACTTGAGGGTTCTATTAATTCAAATTGAATATGCTAAGAGTAGATTAAAGTCCCGTTTGGCACTCATTTTTTTTAAAATGCATTTTTCTCTCTTCTTTTCAATCATACATTCTTTATTAAAATAATATTACACGTAAATCAAAAAAATTTCATTATTTTTCAACCACACATTTCTCATCAAATTACTATTCTAAAATGCATTTTTATATAAAAATAACTCTCAAACACGCCTATGATAGTTCAAAAAGAGTACTTATAATTTCAAGTTTCAGACCCTTTTGTCTGTGATAGGCCCAATTCTAAAAATTCAAAAATATCTATTTTTCGTGAAAATTCTGGTATATACGTGAATTTTGATCCATACAAAAAACCTAATATGAACGTTATTATTTGTTCATTAACTGTCACACCCAAAATTGTATGTACTTTCTCATGGGAAATTTCCATGTTTTGTCTCTCTCTGACTCGTAGTACACACACTTTGCCCACATGGACTGTGAGTAGTACAATAATTATCCCAAATTTCTTGAACCTTAAGTCTCGAGACTCGTATGTGACAAGAATATATGTTTCAATTCCCTGGAAAAATGGCTCGGTATATTCTGATTCTCGTCTTCACTCTACTCTTCCTCGTTGTCTCCGCCTCCGCACACGGCGGAGATTCCGATTCCGATTCAGATTCGCCATCGGAGAAGCCCAACTTGAGATCTAGGTCTCTGATTCTGGTGAAAATATGGTGCCTGATACTGGTGTTTGTTGGGACTTTTGTAGGGGGAATTTCGCCTTACTTCATGAAGTGGAACGAGGGTTTTTTGGTAACTGGGACGCAATTCGCTGGTGGGGTTTTTCTGGGGACTGCTTTGATGCATTTCTTGAGTGATTCTAATGAGACATTTGGGGACTTGACTGAAAAAGAATACCCATTTGCATATATGTTGGCGAGTGCTGGATATTTGCTAACTATGTTGGCTGATTCTGTTATTTCTTATGTTTATGGGAAACAGAAGAACAATTCTGATCCTCAGATCCAAGGTAAATCATTTTTTCCCTCTGTTTGTATAGAATTGTGAAGCATATGCATTGGATTCATCAAAGAAACTTGATTGTCTATGCTAAATTTTGTTTTATAGAACAGTAAGAGGGACTTTGGAAAAATGCATAATTAGGCCCCATTTGACAGGTTTTTGAAAAATTAAAAGATGCTTCTAACACTGAGAAACTGATTTTGTGTGCCTTTTCCACATATCTTAATAAATTTTTTGGAAGTGCTTATTTTGGTTAAAAGAGCTATTACATGAAGTTGGCCTAAGCAAAATCAAAAGCTTTACCAAAAGGGCTCCAATTTCCCCAACAAACGTAGATACGAGAAGAATTTGATTGGCTTTTGAGCTAATAGAAAGTGTCCCACATCACGAAATTTATGCTTTACGGCAAGGTTGTTGGCTACTTAATGTTTTCCTTTCAAGAAGATTCTAAGTGTGACAATTAAAACAGAGACAAATTCAATTTCCGTTACTAAGAATTAGAAGACCATAAGATCTTAGATTGGTTTCCCTTGATTTTACGAATCAAGCTCGAGTAAGAGCAATGTATAGCTTTACATAATCCGACAACGGATGTTTTATCTATATTTCTTTACCACTGCAGGTTCTCGCAACAAAAAAGGCTCCGTTAACGGAATACCTTCGCACTCGCAGTTGCAGGTTAGTCAGCAGAACCTACACACAAATTCCTCAATGGTGTTCTTGATGGATTTTGATAACATTTTTTCTGCAATCCTATATTAGGTCGAGACCGGTACCGATGAAAATCTAGCTAAACATTCCCTCACGATTGCTACTTCACTCGGAGATAGCATCTTGTTAATTTTTGCACTATGCTTTCATTCGGTGTTTGAGGGCATTGCGATTGGAGTAGCCGAGACAAAGGCAGATGCTTGGCGAGCCCTTTGGACCGTCTGTCTACACAAGATATTCGCCGCAGTTGCAATGGGGATAGCTCTTCTTAGAATGATTCCGGATCGTCCCCTATTATCTTGTGTAGCTTATGCTTTTGCATTCGCCATATCAAGTCCTATCGGCGTTGCCATTGGAATTATAATAGATGCAACGACGCAGGGAGCTGTTGCAGACTGGATTTACGCGATATCTATGGGTCTGGCTTGTGGAGTTTTCATCTATGTGTCGATTAACCATTTACTGTCAAAGGGTTATAAGCCTCAAAAATCGGTTTCAGTCGATACGCCACACCATAAATTTATGGCCGTGTTGTTCGGTATCGGCGTGATTGCTGTCGTAATGATTTGGGATACTTAAGCTTCCTTTGATGTTTCTTGAGTACATGTAAACACGAGTGATATGTAATATTTAAATCAAACACGGTTAATTTCAGTTAGTTACTGTGATATTGATATTTAGAATGGAGGTCATTGAACTTTCACCCTTATTGCAATAGGGTCTCTGAACTTCAATTTCAAGCAATCAAGTCACTGAACTTTAAATTCAAAAGAAATCACGGTACTCTCTTTAAATTCCGTTAGTGTGCCTAAAGGAATTCATAGACATGTAAGACAATACTAAAGAAATTGCTAATGCGGTCATCACAAGAAGCAAATTAGAAGCCATCCGATTTTACTTTTTATTTATTTTTTTAATTCAATTTCAATTTAAGAACATAAAATTAAAATAAAAAATAAGATTTGAAGCGGAATTCAGAAGTTGGGTTTTCTTTCTATATATTCTTTTTCGTTTCAGGAATTTAGAACAATAGAGTTCCATCCATAGGATGAAAGTTTGGTGACAAGATACTACACACTTAAACATGGAGGACTGCACGTGCAATAATCATCTTCAATAATTGTATATTTGTAAATTAAAAAATGTTCCATAAGAAATGCTTATTATTATTTCCACCCTGTTCTCTCTTTGCCTTCTCAATTACCTCAAAGTTACATGCCCTGAAACCCTATCGAGTTTCCCCTTCCAGAACTTTTGCTGTTCCTGAAGTTTTGGAATCCAATGCTGCTTCTCAGGTTTGTTTTGTTGTCGAGGCCGTTATAATTTTGTTTGATAATTATGCACTTTTCACATTATTGAAAGGATTTTCTTTGTGGGTTTTGCGGGTTCTTAGGACGAGGCTCCTTCCTTTTCAGTGCTGAGTGTTGGTAACTTCTCTTTTCTTCTTATTCATCTGCGAGCTATGTTCTTTGTATTTGTTTATTAATATTGCTTTTGCTTATATTATAGTAGTACGATTAATTAGTTGTTGAGTGACATTGCGTATCAATTGCTGCTGTAATTATCTACTTTATCCTAATTACTATGTGGTAGACCAGTAGAGAAAGAATGGAGTTATGAAATGCAATGGCTCCAATTAAAACACTGTCACTTTTCATTGATGTCAATGTATTTGCCTTAACATGTTCATATCTAGTACTGAATCAATCAGTATTCAGGGCGAAGAATGCTATAGGAATTTGGTTTCACATGATCTTTTTATATTACATTGCAGGAGAACCTTTCGGGCCCATTTAGATGGGCTTTTGAAAAGCCAAAAGCAATTCTGATACTAATAAATTGCTTTTGAACATGTTTGAATAGTTTTCTAAAAGTGTTTTGTCTGGTCGAGGAAAAATCGATTCTACAATAAGCAGAAGCAAAAGATATCTTCGTGACAGTTTTATGATATTTTACAGTCTCGTAGGGAATATCATTGTATTTTTCTTAAATAAATTTTGAGCGGCATTAACATCCTAAGGAAAACAAAGAAGCAGCTAAGTGAATTTCATTTAGTCTTTCCTATTATTAAATCAATAAAATCAACCTGTTTACTATGTATATTAAGCCACAGAACATAGCAAATTTCTAAATTCACTTCTTTAACCTTAGATGTCTAGCTATCACTGACAATGCTGCTCCCTTGTGTTACATAAACAGTACTGAACCTGTTGCTCAATTTGAGAAATTGTCTTTCTTATTTAAAGTAAAATTCTTATACCCTCCAATTTTATATGCTTTAATTTTAATAATCTGGAGAGGACATTTTGGTTCTCAGATGACGCCTAAGCAGAAGATTAGAATAAAACTGAGGTCATACTGGGTTCCTTTGATAGAAGACTCGTGCAAGCAGATTCTGGATGCTGCAAAGACAAGAAATGCAAAGACCATGGGTCCAGTACCATAACCTACCAAGAAGAGGATATATTGTGTTCTCAAATCTCCACATGTGCACAAAGATGCCAGGTTCCATTTCGAAATTAGAACTCATCAGCGCCTTATTGACATTCTTTATCCAACTGGCCAAACAATAGATTCACTGATGCAGCTTGACCTTCCTGCCGGTGTCGATGTTGAGGTCAAGCTTTGATGATAGTACCAGTGGTAACCTTGAATTTCTCTTAGACGTGAGACTAAAAACCGAATTCAGACAAATATTAGTAGGATATAATTTACCGTATAATAGTTAAAATTTTCGTGCTATTTTACTTTCCGTGGATGTTACACTGCCTTTGGAAGTAAATTATTGCTCTGTCTATTGTTTTATGGTCTACATGTGATACTGTCTTAATTGGGTATTTGTTCCATTGATGACAGTATTAAGTTCATTTCTGCACTATGTCTTTATATTGTTGAAGATCAATTATCAATAGGAAAGTCAAAGAGAGGATGCAATTTATGGGTACTGGTATCGTCGCGTTACTTCTTACACTTCTTCTTGTTAAGTTGTGTAGCCTATATGTTGTCATTACTCGGAGCCCGTACGCAAATCGACCATTGCGATGACGTCGCTGGTGGGTTTGGAAAGGGGGCTGATAGTTTAGGAATTACATACTTGTAAGATCGTTTTTCCCCAAATTTTTCTAAAGAATAGGGGGTCATCATTCGGATTTATATAACATAATCATGAAATGAAAGACACAGGTTAGACAAAATACAGTTTGCAATTTTTCTTTTCTATAAACTTATTTTCATCATAGTAAATTATTGCAACGACGAAAGAAGTTGTAGTATCACATTGGGACAAAAAGATATAAACTTTGTGTATTCTTATGTGTCTAATTTCTTTTTGTGGTTTTGTTGCTTTCAGTGATATAGAATTAGGAACTATTTTCATCATAGTAAATTATTGCAATGACGAAAGAAGTTGTAGTCTCACATTGGGACAAAAAATATAAATTTTGGGTATTCTTATGTGTCTAATTTCTTTCTGCAGTTTTTTTTTGCTTTCAGTGATATAGAATTAGGGTTCCTAATTCTGAACACTTGTTAAATGACACTAATGCATACTGGTATGTATGTTTCAGTTGTGTTAACACTGTTGTCAAGTAAGCAAGGAACAATTTATTTGCTTAAAAGTTGTTTACTTTTGACTTGTGTTTTCCTGTTGAAGCTGTGGGCAATTCCTCTTTTTAACTCCAAACTTTCCTTCCTTATATGTTAAATGACCGGATGCGAGCAAGCCCTCAAGAACAGTATGACACGGGCATCTCGAGCCATTACATCAGCTGTAGCTCGTTAGAACAACCAAAAACAGCATGAATACTTCATGTCATCTTAAAAATGACCAGAGGAATTGTTAAGGCTTTCTTGCCTTTTCTTGAACTAAAAGGAAAAGAAAAATGCATTCACAACCGCACATGGGCTAAATTCAACACAGAAGGGTGCTTTAAGTAATCTCAACTAGGAGCTGGTGGAGGTATCATAAGAAACAATGTGGGGTGACGCATGTTTGGATTTGAGTCTCACTCATTAGCTTATAATCACCTAATCAAGAACAAAAGAAACTAGCCCTTGGAAAATACAGTAATTGCGAAATTGGACGAGGTAACGACCTAGCCTCTGTACTTGTCTAATTGATATTATGATTCAACTTAAGTCTCTTTTAAGAGGAAGTCATATGTTCGAATCTTGGGAACTTGAAAAAAATTCGTGAAGAGTGGATGGGTTTAAGCTCTCCCAAGCAAACAGTAAGTAAATTAATAACTTGAGCATGGAGGTTGAGACATTATAAAAAATTTGCATTTTTTTTAAGGATCTAAACTCTATGTTCAAACAGTTAACTTACTTGTTGTTCGCTAACGTCTCTAGGATTTGAACATTTGACATTTCTTTTAAGGATGACTTAAATTGAATTTTGGTACCAATTGAGCAGTATGTCTATGTCATGAAGGTGTGTGTGGGAAATGGGGCATGAGGGGCTATCGTACCTTACCAATGTTCAATGTTAATGTTAACCGTTTTATGATACTATCAGTAGATTTGATCGGCTTCCAAATAACATGGCCTACTGCATTCTAATCGACCAAGAGATACAACATATGAGCTCACGATATCAATGTTGAGATTTTTAAAGAAATAAAATAAAAGTGAACACATTAAGAGGTGGATTTTTTTTTTTTTTATGAATAATGTTATTTATAGTCGTTCGCTACCTCAATTGTTCTACGTGACATATATGTGGCGGTTAGTAATTTGTTACATAAGGTAATAAAAAAGTATCATATTAATATATCAAATCACTAACCGCCACATGTTTGACACATAGGGTAATTGCAAATAACATTTTTTTTAATGTAATTCATATGCATATCATAAGTATACATTATATGCATGAGATTTGCTTATTAAGCGTTAGCTCATTTCGCGTTATCGCTCTTCATTTTCAGATGACGTCCAGATGATTTGAAATGACAACTTCGTGTGACACGGACTCAGTATTATCGTATTTAAATGTTAAATTCTTTTTTTTCTCAATTAAACTGAACATTCAATTTAATTGTTCTATATTTATTAAACAGAAATTATTTTAAAATAATAAGTTATTGGTGTTTATTAAGTTAAACAAAAATTAAACCTTCTTTCCACATTTATGATTTTAAGAGAAAATTAAGGTCCTATTTGACCTACATTCTTTAAGAAAAAAATGCATTCTTAAAAGTGATTTGACATCATTTCAATCATACATTTTTTAATAAAATATTATTACACGTAAAATCAAAACATTTCCTTATTTTTTAACCACACATTTTTCATCAATACACTATTCAAAAATACATTTTTACGAAAATAATGTGGCTTAAACAATGGCTAAATGATAATATTTCCAAATCAAGATATCTATGTTTTGGGTTGTTACTATCAGAGCCCAGAGTTACAAAATCGATTTTGTAAACTCTAAAAATATATATTTAAAAAAAATAAAAAATGAACCGCCATGTTCTTTTCATGATCATCTGGTAAACTTGAATTTTATTTCATACACTGCTAATTTGTAATTGATGCATAATTGTTGTTATAGCAAAACAAATTTAGCTCCCATTTAGTAGCAATTTTTCACTCAAACAATTGATTTTTTTATTGTTATTTTATTATTTCAACTGTCATTTTTGACTTCTTCATTCATAGGTGGGACCCACTTTTTACTCTAAAGATCAAAAAATCAATACTCATAAT